ATTTTTTGGTTGCAGCCATTATTGTTTGGTGGGCCCGGGCTGCATTCAAACCCGCCACCTTAGCCACTTGAGCCACAGGCGCCGAGCCTGACCATGTTTTCTATATAAATCCTACCTTGATCACAGAAAATATGTGATAATTTTTCATGTCAATGCCCAACTTAAATTTTTCTATGAAAAACTGGGACTTACATTTAGCATGCACTGTAAACCCACTTTTAACTATTCTAAAATAACACAGTAAAACATAGGCCTAAATATATTGTCCTGAAGGTCTAATAGGTTAAGAATTTTTGTTTAATGAAAAATACCAGGTTGCTATCTGAAGGAAGATACCATTATCACAATAGTACAGCCAGCTTTTGGCATTATAATCGTCTTAAGTCATTCATAAGAACTCTATTCATTTCTAGTGAAGTAACAGGCCTTACTTAGTCTTTTCACTTAGCCAGGTCTTCCCAGGGTCTGGGTTAGTAATCACCTCCTATGGAGAGGTTAAGAATTGACCTGTGACATAGACAGAAATAGGGTAAGGCTCCTTTTACAAAACTTTTGAACAAATCTTGGATCTGAAAGCCTCTGTGGCCAGTAACAGAGAATTAAATGAAAAGTGGTTTCACAATAATAGGAACTAAAACTCCAGTCAAATTTTATACAGCTATTATAGTTTCTAGTGCCTTGAAAATGTGTTTTAAGTTTAGCTCTTGGGGAGGAGGGGTGACCATTTATCAATTCAATATAAAAGTTTGCTGATGATACACGTATGTAAAGTTAATACAATTCTATACTCATTAAAGGATTACTGACTTAAAATTCCTATTTAAGTTGGAAAATCACATATAGTATAAAACATTTTAGCTGAAATCTCACCACTGCAGGTATAGAAGCCTCCTTATAGTGAATTATGACTCCAATCAATGATCCAGTATTTTGTAGATGCAACTTGCATTTCTAGTCTGTCTGATTATCATGTTACTGTAGGGGCATTTGCACTAAATAACTGACCTGTAAAATCTGGCCCAAGCTATAGTTTTTTATTATGGCCAAATTATACAAATGCTAAAACATTTTATTATCCTCTGAATTAACCTTTTTTGATCATGAAACTATCTTGCTACAATAATGGTATTAAACTGTTGATTGAAATATTTAGAATGCTGTTTTCTCACTGATCTGAGATGGATAGACTATTTTTCTAAAGATCGTTAAACTAACAATGCTTAAAAATCCTACATCGTTTTCTAATATCATTTTAAGTTCTTTTGTTCCAATGGGTTTGTGTAGCTGGAATGTTGCCCCATCAAACTCATCTTACTTGATTCAAGATGGTGCAGTGGAAAGTACAGTTCACTGACTGACGGATGCACTAGGCCTGGCCACTAGTGCTAGTGCTAGCTCTACGTAGCTGTGTGACCTTGTAAAGAGGCTTAACATCTCTGGGCTTCATTTTCCTCCTATTACAGAATGCAGAGGGCTAAATGAGCCGAGGTTCCTTCTGGCTCCAAATTCTATGACTTGCAGTTTAATTGTCATAAAGTCAGCAGAGGGAGCACTTTTTCTACATGTTATACATTTTGAATACCATTTAAACACCTTTCAAAAATCAAGGGGTTTGTGAAGAACACTACCGACACTAGCAATTGGCCATCTTTTGCTCAGTTTGTATCAAATCGCAGATTGGATTATAAACTTGACAAAAATCTATAGAAATTATTTCTGATCCTTGAATTTCATAATGAAGTCTCACAACCGACTTATTTTATAAAAATTAAGAAGCCAAACTACTCTCAGAAATTAAGCATCCCTAATGTGGTAGCATATTTATACAGGACCCAGACGATATCATACAAGAGAGGCTATTTGATGTCACAGACAAAAAAAAAAAATGAAAACTTTCTCAAAAATAAAAACATGAGTATATTGGGCCTACCATAGAACAAAGCACACATGTGATTGGTAGGTCTTTTTCTTTTGCACTTTTCATTAAGGTACATTGAGAACAAGCAGGCAGACACAGCCAGAGCCTGCAGGCTCATGAAAGATTGGAAACGTGTGGTATCAAGCCAATGACAAAAAAATGCCCCACTATCTGAGAACCTTAGTGACTTTCATCTCTATAGTCATCAGAGGATTCATTTTGTCTTTTTAATTATTAGACAATCTCATATCGAATATTAAAGTTTTTATTCCTTAGTAAGAATTTTTAAATCACAAAATAGTGTGGCAATATTTACGTAATAGAATTTATGGAGTGCTGAAAATACTAGAATATAAAGATAACTTCTAGTTTGTCTTCACATACTAAACTTTTCTAAACCAGCTGGTTTCTGGCAGACAGCATTTATTTATTTTTAATAATTTAAGACAGCATAAGCTTGTACCAAGCATAAGCATTGTAACAAAAGTGCAACTTTTCAGCAAATCCTCCCCCAAAGATATTTTAACTCAAAATATCATTAGCACATTATTTTCTCCCTACAAAAATAGCATGTCAGACATCATTAATTGGATATATTAACAACTATATACATAAGAGCCAATTTGTAGGCTAAGAGTTTTAACGTTGTTTAAACACAGCGTTTGAGGCAAACAGTAGCAACAGCAGCAGCAAATGCACCAAACTGACTAAAAGACCCAGATATTTTCCTCACTCATAGTCAGACTGTTGTGTCTCACCCCTTACATAACATTCAAGTGAGAGTTCTCACAGTGCTACCTTGGCAACAAACTAAAAATATCTAGACAAGGTCTTGGTTTAAGCCTTATTAAAAAAAGCTTTCTTTGTGATTATCTGGTATCTGGTTTGGTCTCCAGAAAATACATAGACTTGGAGATAAGAAGGCCTCCCAGGGCTTCATTCCACATCTAGACTGCATTTCCGAGCACAACTGACCGGTTAAATGCTTTCCTCCACTTTTGCCATTGAACAAGAATATACGACAAAATCAGTTTGGACTTGTTTTAAGTTCAGTGCACTTTTTAAAAAACAGTTAAGATTACAAAAATGATGGATTAACGAGAGTGGGAATAGATGCACTTGAGAGATATATGTATATATATATATACACATATATGGACTAAGAAATAAAGATACCTCGATTTATAGTCAATTTCTCAATAAAGTGCTAGCAAATGTACTAAGAATGGTTCCGGCCTTTCTCATCCATCTCCTTCCCTGATTTCGGACCATGGCCCAACTCCATGTCTCTTTAAACAAGTGCAAGTTACTAAGAGATACCATTCAAACCACTTCAGAATAGATTGCAACGTGAGCAACTGCATCCTCGCTTCTTTGAAAAATACAAGCCTTTCAAAAAGTTGAATTTTATAAAATACTGAAGAGTAAATTTAATTCTAAAAGATCCTCAGTCTGTCTGTGGTAAACCTGTTAAAACAGGCAGGGCAACTGGGAGAAGCAGCGCTACTGTACCAGCTAGCTGCTGTCCCACGTTGACGCCAGTCAAAGATGTCCAAGCTGTCAGCACCTTTCCCCCTACCCTGGGGTTCAATCAGCTCACCCACAGAGCAGACCCTTCTTACCTTCTCTAGAATTAGGTCTCGCAGTTTAAAAGGTAACATGGCCTGAAAGGAGGCGAAACTTATTTTGAGGATTCTTTAAAGAAAAAAGAACCAGTATCTATTGCAGAGGAGCTTTTACAGCTGGTGGGGGAAGGAAAGGGATGTTAGTGTGTGCAGGGTGGGGTGGTGAGGGATGAGCAAAACAGGAACTCCAAATGTACACAAAACACCTGTTTTTATATGCCTGTCGTGCATCTATTACACTTCCTCCCTTAGAAACGTGAAGGGTGTTTTCACTCGTCATTCGGCTGGAACCTCCATCCTTTCTAAGACTTAGGGAGCTTCCTTTCCTGGCTGCGAGGGATCTTCCTGAGCGGAGCTCTCCGGGTTCCCCGGCTCGCGGGGGCCGGCGAAGGGCAGGTGGGTGCGGCCGTGCGGGTGCGGGGTGTGCAGCGCCCCAGGTGGCGCCACCTCGTGCGGCAG